CTCATGTCCTCATGTTCTGAGATTTGAATCCGCATCACCCAGTGTTACCAGCAGTCAGAGACGTTACCACTGAGCTATTTGGGCTCGTGATTAACATCCTGTAAGACTGTATTGGGTACTTTTGTTTGATTACACACTAGTCAGTAACTAGTATAGTGTGCCTATTCCTTTGTTTGCTGTAGACTGAATTCTGTCAGTCAAGTTCGCGATGTGGTCACCATCCTGGGCGGTTCGCCATCATGGTGCACTTTGTATAGTTGCAGATACGCCCTACTGACAAGTGACAGCTAGCACGAAACCTAGGTTAGGCTGTGCTTCCTACTGATTGCCTCCAGCCATCTAATATCAACTATTCAAAGTGTGCCGTGATGGCGAACCGCTCAGTATGGTAGCCGCATTGCCAACGTGACTAGTAGAATTGAGTCTGCATGAAACGCATTACACTAGTTACTAACTAGTGTCCAATCAAAAGTAGGGATGCATATTTTCTCTAACTTGTAGTCATCCTGATAACTGGCCAGTGGAATTCCCTTTCGTATGAATACTCACTATCGCCTTTTACACAAACTATAAAAACAACACTTATGTCAGGCAGTCCATTTCTTGCATTAATAGTGTTTAATGCGCCTTTAATTTGCCTTAGATCGCACTCTATTTCCACTGTTGTTTTAAAAGTATTATTTGTTACAGGATTTCGTCATGAGCTAGAGAGAACCACTGGAAAACCTGGGAGTACTGGATAGCTGTTTCCCTTGTCCCACTTTGGGACCAGCTCTTCATCAGTAAGCACCCAACGCCAGAGTTCGATCGAACCCAGGACCTTCTGGTTACAAGGCGAACTAGTTAGTAGACCATTAAGCCACTGGGATCTGATCCAATGGCCAACCCATGAATTCTAACTTCTACGAATTCACTACATAGCGCGACTCCTATTATTATTGTCATTTGTGTTATATCTGTGTTTTCCAGAAGCAGAAACATTTTTCAAATTAAGTTTTTTTATTTGCTTATTTGCCAAGGCGTGCCTGACTTAAACTGTGTGAAGATGTGGAGATCTGTTGGTGAAATAGAATATAACAATCTCTCATTGAAGAATTTCCGCTTCCCTACTATATTACAATTTGATGGAACACAACTGGGTTTAAAAATGCACCCTGTTGATTTCACCACTGGTCACTGCCAGACAAAATTATCATTTCACTACTATTTCCCAGCTTCTGCATCAAGAATAAAGCCAAAGTTTTTACATATGTAAAAGGTGTGTCCCCTAGATATTCTGATAATAATAATAATAGTAACAGTAATGGTTTAAATAGTGAAAAATCAATGTTTTTCACTTCTGAAATAATTTAATTCAGATTCCTATAGGATTAGTGAGTGATTATACCTTTAGTTTTTCACAACAGGTGAGTAACACTCATTTCCATGACAACTACAGAAAAAACTTGGGAGCTGAGAGAAAGTTGAGACATAATTATAACTTGGCAGAGCGCTTATAGCTGAAATGCCAGTGTGGCCACTGTTACGAGTAAGGCTGACTGACAACTTCCACAATTTTTTGACAGTAACCCAGGCCATTACATGCTGAACTAGTTACACTTGTAATAAAATGGATTTTAAATGCTTTAAATTCTTTTGATGAAGTGTTTTGATTTTCAGTTTGTGCTTGTACCTTAAATAAAACAAAAATGACATGCGTAACCACTGGAAACCGACATTTTATTCTTCTTCTCAGGGTGATTTTATTTAGTAGGCAAACAGAGAAATCTTTATTGGGCTGCATTTAACATAGACAAAGGTTAAGTCATTCCATGAGAAATAACTTTTTGCATCTCTATTGTGTGAGTGTACTATCTTTAATGTCGAATTCGATAAAGGTACTACAGCTTTCAATAATGTGAAATATTCCCACATCAGGAATTAAAAGTCAATCTGAACGAAGAATATTCTTTTCAATAATTTCTCCTCTTCAGGTTCTTACAATTATAAAACATAATATTTGTTTTCATTACAATTATGATAGCCAGTTATGCGGCGGATACATTTTCGTTAACGTAGAATAACAGATTAGTTATGGGTTGACAAAATAAATAGTCATATTTGTGTGATAAATGTGCTAGGCTGAATTGAATTACAAAATATTGTGAAATGACAGACAATGGTGGTGAATAGTCATTATAGATTTGTAGAATATGGGAGTAGAAAAATTGACAAAGATCGACTAAACCGGAACTTTGTATCCAAAAAGAACACGTTCAGACTCTGTTCCTAACGTGGCCAAACTTGGATTGATGATTCTTCTTATCACCAAGAGTGCTTCTTCCCCTTAACCCTCTTGGTTTTTTTCCTTTGCTTTTTATTACTATTATTATTATTACTGTGAAGAGGAGATGAAAACGTGTGGGCAGACTTGAAGCCAGGTGAAGACTCTAACAGAGAACCGAACGCAATGGAGACGCACGGCTGAAGCCCTATGTTCCTCTAGGAATTAAAGGAAACAATAATAATAAATTATTATTATTATTCGACATAATTTGTATCCTTCATGCAAACATTCTGTCAATACTATCAAAATTTCCATTTATACTATCGGACTTATTATTAGTGATATTATCTCTTTTCTCAATATATGCCACCACCTGTTACTTCATTTCAGACATTCGTTATTCCATTCATTTCGCCTCTTGTTGCAGTCTTACTATCTCCTGTTTAATACAGACCACTTTGTACTAGCCACTCACTCACCTGACATCTTTTATAACCTTGAACTGACTTATATGTTAATTTTCCTACCCGACATTCTACGAATCTTTTATTACTTATCACCAACATTGTCTGTCATTTCACAATATTTTGTAATTCAATTCAGCCTAGCACATTTATCACACAAATATGACTATTTATTTTGTCACCCCATAACTAATCTGTTATTCTACGTTAACGAAAATGTATCCGCCGCATAACTGCCCATTTATATACTATAGCTTTTATCAAACACACTTTTGAAATTACAGAGATGCATAAAAATTGGTCCGGTAATATGTGTTCAGTTTGTTACCAGGTCGACTGCTGCAGTACACTGGAATGACGGCATCTGAATTCTAGTTATCAATGATCCTAGATACCAGTTGATAAACATCCTGGTTATCTTTTGTTTACATTGTAGAAATGTTATTCAGCAATGGTAGCTAGTGATACTATCGCTACTACTAATGATGCTGGTAGTAATGGCAATTTAACTAATCGCGGTATCTGTCTGGATACTACAGTGTTCTCAGCAAGTAATAATCAAACAATTACTGTTAATTGTATAATCTGAAATATTTAACAATAAAGCATAAATTACGTCGGTTCTGGTTGAGAGGAGACATTTTTATTCGCTGTTACAAAGTAAACTTTCATGTATTCTGTCACACCCCACCTTTTATTCTCATACTATTCAGAATGGAAGAGGTGTGACTGAGGGTTAGCTTTGTGAACCTAAAATCTAATAAAGGTGTCTATTATTTGCTATATGAAGCACCTCTCTACAGGTGGTCGGAAAAAGACACCTTCCCGAACCAAGCTCTCTTCAAGCAAAATGTACACTTAACTTGCTTGTCGTGTAATTCGATATTCACACGAAGGTAGACACACTCTAGTGTAAGTGAACTGATATCATTCAATCCTGAAAGGAACTCTTTATAACACTAGTAATTTAGAGATAATTGGTAGGCAGAGAGAGAGACATGGTTGTCCGTATCTGATCTGCGTAGTTCTAGGCTATAGAAGAAAATGAGCACATCTGTAGTTTTAATGTTAACTCGTTACACTGAGCTTCATCATTTCCAGTCTGTCTATTGAACTCAGCTATAACAAAGGGTCTTGAGGAAATGTTTTACATCCTACACAATATTTGAGCGTGGGAAGTAAATTGTGAAGATTACTTTTCTAATATTTGTTCATAGGATGTCTACACAGAAAATATGTGCGTTCGTGGCACAGCCGTAGAATGCTCACCAACCACGCATGTGGTCCGGGGTTCGAGTCCTGACCGACGCACCCCTTTACCTCGGTAAGGCAGTAATCAGACTGGTAAAGAGGGAAGGTTGGGCTAGTGTGAGGCTAGCAACCTCATCCTGTGAAAATAAACACCACTGCTACCGAAACTTCAAGCCTCTAGTTTGAAGCCCTATGTTCCACTGGGAACGTGAAGGAATTAAAAAACACAGAGAACATGCAAACTGACTTTAACCTGTCATAGAAATTTGAAGGGAGAATTCTCCATAGATTGGCCTTGGTTTAATTTCATTTGAGAACTCTGTGTGTGTATGTGCGTGTGAATGTGAATATGAGTGGCTGAAAAGGCTTTATTGTGAGAGGAAAGGACTGAACCGTTGTGCTCTCATAATCATCATGCGTTAGCAAATATTAACTTCAATTAGATAAGCGGCTAGACACTTGATATGTCTATCTAGCATGTGTTTGTACATCGTTCCATTGTTTTTATGACTATTGTTCTCTAATTTTTATTTTAAATGCGTGGGTGTGTATTTAAATTTTAATTGGTTTCTTTTAACTGATATGTACTTTTCTGTGTGTATATGAGAGATAAATTGTTATTATTACTACTACTACTATAATTGTGATTATTGTCATCAAATAAGCAATAAATATGAATAATAATAACAGCACCATCCTCATCGATAGGGGACACATTACACACCAAAACAAAGCATAAAATATATACGGGTTCTGTTCATTTTAGAAGTTATTCTCTATGTGTAAAAAAGATTACGGTGTATACATTTTATTGTTACTGTTACACAATTAATCAATCCAGATTCCAAGCTGAACACACATATAAATACACAACACTTTGGAATATATACAGATACATTCATCAGATAGATAAGAAGTGTGTACACACATATACACACACACTCCAACTACCCACCCGCACTTACACTCTGACAAACTCGCATATAATAATTTGGAGAAAATAAAATACGAAAACGACGCGGAGAACAGAATTTTTTCAGTGAGAGAGAGACAAAGACAGAGAAAAACAGTTTCGTAAAACAAATTCCTGGTAGTAACTCCTCTGTTTTCGTCATTTCTGGTACTATCAAAATATCAGTAATAGTGATTTACAAATCAGAGTGGATTGGAACTTTACTCATTCTGTGCACACACACTTTGGAAGTATTTAACATTTCTTTGATTATCTGTCAACTTTACTCAAGTTTGCATCATTTATTATTATAATCATCAACCAGCGAAGTGGCTACAAGTCCTTCACTGTACACATCTTCAAAATCACCAAAGCTATTCAAGGCAAGAAGGCATAATTCTAGAATCAAGGAAATATTAGGCACTTCCAGTAATTAATATTATTATTATTCCTCAATGTTATTCAGTTCAGCATCGTTTATTGTTACACATTCAATATATAGACACTTGTTAGTATTATTTCTGTATTATGCGGCTAATTGTGTCAAAGGAATCACTGGAAATTGTGAAACAGCTCAATCTGTAATCATATGTACTAATGAATTACCATCTAGTCAGTTTCTAAATAATTTGACTGGGAAATATGAATTAATCATTAAAAGTGTTAAAACAAAATTAAACATAAAATCCTTCGAAAAATATCAAGGCGCAAAGATTACACGTTTACAAATTGAAAAGTCAACGTTATTCTCTATTGAACCGAAATTTTTTGCAACATTCAGCGGTGATAGTCTGGAAAGATTATCCCTTAGTAATGTCGACGGAACATATCGACTAGATGCACAGTCGCTAGCTGGTCTTAGTGAAAAACTTAAATTCCTACGAATAAACGATCATAATTTGAATATTAATAATAATATTGATGATTTTGTTATACTCAATAAACTGACAAGTCTGTATCTTGTACGTACCCAATTGACCAGTTTACCCGATAACTTTAAACAAATGTTAACACATTTAGAAGATATTAATCTATCTGAAAATATGTTAACTTATATGCCGTGGAAATCATTAGCTGAACGTATACAAAATGACCAGTTTTTGAAAATTCAGTTGGGTAAAAATTTATGGCATTGTGATTGTGGTATAAAACCTTTAGTTGAATTAAAACCAGAAGCAAAGTGAGTAATTAAAATCATTATTATTATTTGTTTATTTTTTTTATATGTAGAGAAATTCGAATTACCTTACAAGTACCTATGTAAATTATTGTTAGTGGGTTAACTACTGATTAGAATAAGTACTCAATGTATTCTACTTTATTTGCTTTAAAAAAACCCAACAACAATAACAACAGGTAGATCAATTATTATTTAAATTCTAGACAACTTTTTATAAAGTAAGAATATATTGATTAATTTAAGGTTTCCATAGTAAGCTATTTAAAAAAATACATTGACTCACTGACTAGTTTATTGATTTCATTATTGTTTGCATAGGCTTAATTTGATTAATACTGTCAGTTAGCCATGCCCGTTAGAGTAAGTGAGATGTATCACAGCTACATTATAACAACCAAAGCGGTTAGGTATCTCTGACTCATACTAAGAAAGCAATATTCATTCGGTAGATGTTTTGAATTTAAGAGACACGAAGTTCTCTCTCAAGCAATATGGTACAGTTGCCCTGAGTTAACTTGAAGTGAAGTTTTTAAGCAGTCACTCTCCATGAAAATATTAATGCGCTTATTATGCATGATTTTATCCACCACTTACGCGAGTAAAGCATGTTGGCGTAAAAGAAGTTAGGGGGAATGATAATCGAACCGAGACAGTGCATGAAAACATTAAGAGATAGGTTGAGCCAAGGGCGGATTTGCGTTTAACTAACGCTTTGTCGAAGTCTATAGTTGATATGGCATGAGATTAATCATCAGAATGGAGAAGATTTCTACTCACTCTCTCTTTATTCTGTCTTACTTTACTCTTAGTTCTTTTGTCTTTTTACGCCTTTTCATGATTTAAGTTTTACATTTTCATCTTATCTCTTATCATCTTATACTTGATTTAAGGTAGTGTGGACTGTCTTGCGGTTATCTGAAGTCCTATACTAATATAAATATATTTATGCCTATGAGAGTAAATGTGGTCGAAGCGTAGGATCGTCAAGTGTCACTGTCAGTAGGCTACTGTTCATCCACCAGGGAATCCGATTTTCAAGTTACAGCAGACAGATATGTTGTGTAGGGTGGCAAAGCATTTGCTGTGAAAAGTAATAGATACCTAGTTCTGAAAAGTTCGAACAAATTAGCATCAAATGTAATTTTTTTAAAATTCCTTTACGTTTCTAGTGCTGGAACATAGGGCTTTAAGCTACGGGCTTGAAGTTTCATTAGGAGTGGTGTTTATTTTTACGGGATGGTGTTGCTAGCCTCATGCCCAACCACCTCTCTTTACCAGTATTATTTCTGACTTAGAGAGGTAAAGGAGTGCGTCGGTGGTCGGGGATCGAACCCTGAACCACGTGGGGCGTGGTTGGTGAGCATTCTATCACTGTGCCACTGACGCACCAAATGTAAATAGAATAGGTTATTCACTGAAATTGCATTTTATAAACACACAATGGAATATTTCACTGTACAGTACAGTTCAAGCAACAACATTTGCGGACTGTGTTGAGTCTGGTTGATAGAGGGATGCTGAGAGAATCAGTTCAATGAACTGATTCCGTTTGAACTAAAAATTCTCTTCAATAATCTTAATTATTTCAATAATATTCAAAATACAGGGAAAATATATACCTTGTAAAAACGTTTGTAGATGAAGTAGCTAGACGACAAGTGGAAATGGCCGTTTATTCTGGACATGAAGGCGATCACTTTCATGAGAATTATTTATAAGTATGTTGCACTACGTGCTGTTTATGAAATAACTGAGGAACACGGTTCGAAACCTTTAGAACACTTTGAATGTACGTATATGTATATATATATATATTAAATTTAGGTTATGACTGTTGAGTCAACTTTGCGTAAACCTGCTTTTAACATTTAGAATTCAACTCATCAATAAACTCAAAGCTTTAAGCATTATACCTTACCTGTTGATAGTTTTTTGATGAACTGATTCATGGAAAGCATTCGAAGAGGTCAGGAAGTGTAATGAAGTTAAATTTGACAGTTTCACTGAATTCATTCAATCAAATAGCATTTTATTACTATTTACTAAAACAAACACTATTGGTAAACAGTTTCCAAATGTCGTCATGAATAACTTTTCTTTTGCATGGATTTGCAGATGTATTTTGTATAATCAGAGGCATCAAAAACTTTTCCGAATAGCTATAATATTAAGTGTCTATCAACTTTTATGTGGTAGGATGACTTTTAATTATCAATAGGCCTGGCTGATATTCAACCAACCATTTTTCCCCCTATTTTCTGGAATGAACAGCTTCTGCGATTTGCATGTATTTTTTCTGCTACATTTTGAGATTGACATAGAATCACGTTTGGTTTAATTAAACTTTTGTGGTAGCTAGCATGGGATTCGTGTGCCTGTAATGTTCGTCTGGTCAAAGCACTGCGGTAAGATAAGTCTGAAGACGCCTGACTCCCATTTGATATAAGAAACACATGACTGTGAATATACGATATATATATACATATGTATGCATTGAAATCCATGAATGCTCTTTTCAATGACTTGTTCCTCAGTAATTATGTATGCAAAATTGTAGAACCTGATGATGAAATCAACGAAAATATTCTTTGTTCATCAGTTACTTTCTTTTTATAGCGTAGATTTCATGATGAAAAAAGCGTTTAACTTCACAATTCCACTGCCTTTCTTTAATTCTGCTAGGACAGAATTGATTTTATAGTTTTCTTCACATAGTTCATATAGGTGGCTACTTTTTCTCGCTTCCATGCGTTCCGAGTGGAACATAGAGCTTCTGGCTTTGAGTTTTGAAGTTTCAGTAACGTTGGTACAATTCCTAACAGTGTAGGGCTGTTACGCTCACGTCCAACCTCCCCTCTTTTCCGCGCTTACCGTTGACCTTGGCAAAGTTTAGGAGTGTACTAGCTGGAAATCGAAATCATACCACTTTCGTGGCTGGCAAGCAGCATTTTACCACTGATCTACCGGCACAGCGCGCATTATTCTGTTGCAAATCTAAACCAATTTAGAATGTGATACAGAAAAGTAATCAGAAAGTTGTTGTCCATCGTATGCCAACATCACTGTTTGTTTGATAGGTCCTCCGAATTCATCTTTTTTAAGAACACATTACTCGGTTGATTTGTTGCAGAAAGCGATTCGAAACTTATTCAAATTCTTAAGTTGTGCCCAAATATAAATGCAACACTGGATGCCGAAAGTATACGTGAAATGTTATGCAGAGCTTAATTTTCTATTTCTTTTGATGACAGAGGTGTGAGTTTGTCATTAACAGGCTGCCAGTTTAAGTTCTGTGGGATTGTAAATGTTTGTTCTATCAGTACGTGAATGAGATTACACCGGAGGCGTGTTATACTTAGATTCAGAAGTAGCATAAATGACTGATATACAGAGATATCCTGAAAAGTAATGGTAATACTTATTTCATGCACGAATCCTTCTTAGTGAATTCGAACAAAACAGTGAAAATACATGGAGCAGGATGTCATATTTCGTCGATATCCTCTCAAAACGGCATACAACCTGAATAATGAAAGTTAATAAATAGTTTCATCAGAATTTTAATATATTAGATAAGATTATTTCAAATGTAAAGAGTATTAACAACTGGATGACATGGTTTCGAGCGTAAATTATCACTGCTCGTAATCACATCAACTTAGTCACACGATTTCACAATTTGTCTTACTTATATTTTCTCTCTTTCTCCCTCTCTATTTTCCCCTTGTTGTTTGCTGGCACTTCCCACATCTCCGGTATAGGCGTTGCATCATGTAGATTGCATGTGTTTGGTGTTGAAACGATAAACAAAGCTTCAGAGATTAACCTCTCTCTCTCCACCTAACTATATTACTTTTTAATACTTTCATTCTGTCCCGCCCTATTTTGTGATTATTTGCAAGTGAATGCAATACACTGGCTGAGCTTTATTCTCAGTTATTTAACTTAGCATGGTCAATTATTCTATGTCTAGCTAAATTTTTATGTTCCAGCAATCTAACTGGCTCCGATCTACTAGTTTCACCTATATAAGCATACCGCCAAGTAAGTGTTGATGTAACCACGTGAAAATGGGAAAGGAACCAACACTGAAGATGACATGATCAATTGAGGTTATATTTGATATCCACTGAAATAAAGTGTATGTTAGAATTGTAGTGAAACCAGTAGATGTCATCAGTTAGGTCAGCTGTGATTGAAAGGATACTGACGAAATAAAACGGATCTGTTTTATCCTGTTTTGTGTTGTCGTTGTTTTATTCAACAATAATAAAAATTATTTTTACTCATAGAAATTTCATGAGAAAAAAGAATCTATTTCATCGTCTATTTCTTATTAATTGGTTAGTTTATCTTGGCAGTATGAGTTTAATGGGTTTATATTATTAGTCATTATTATTATTATCTCTTCGTTTGTGTATGTAGATGTGTGAATGTATGTGACGTAGTTCTGAAGTGATACATTGAAATAAGGAGTGATTCTATGGAAATCATTTTAAAAAATATAAAGAGCAATATTGTGACTGGACACTAGTAACTAGTGGGATGTGTCTAGTCCTTTGTTCTGTGCAGACTAAATTCTATCAGTCAGGTTTGCAATATGGCTACCATTCTAGGTAACGTCTCTGACTCCTGGTAGCACTGGGTGACGCGGGTTCGAATCCCAGAAGGGACATGAGTTCCTTCAAGGTTGCAGATACGCCTTGCTGTGACTGGTGAGTGGCAACTAGCACGAAACCTAGGTCCAAGGCTTCCTGTGGCCGATTGGCTTCAAACACTTAATATCATCAAGAGTAATATTGGGTTAGTAATATAAATACAATGATAGTCATTGAAAAGGTATGAACTCAAGTTTTCAGGTCTACTGATAAACATCGCATTTTGTGTGATCAGTCTATATCTGTAGGATCAAACTTAAACTTGATGCGTACAATAAAGAAGAAGAAGACAGTGTCATTATTGTAAATTTCAGCTTTTAATGAACTAAGTAAGAGTACACA